GCCCCCCCCCCCGCAGGCTGTGGCCCCGCTCATGAAGTACCTAGATGAGAAGCTGGCCCTGTTGAACACTTTGCTGGTGAAGGAAAACCTGAGCAGGTACCCAGCGGGGAGAGGAGGGAGGAGCTGGTGGGAGGGGAGAGGACAAGGAGGTGGCAGAGGAGGGAGGAGCTGGCAGAAGGGGCAGGTGGGCGTGGACACCCGGCCTCACTGACCCTCCCCCGCAGGGTGCTGGAGGCCCTCTGGGAGCTGCTCCTTCAGGCCATCCTGCAGGCACTAAGCGCTGACCTGGACGTCTCTGCTGACTTCTATGGCCGTTTCCACTTCACGCTAGAGGTAGGGCCCTGGGAAGGAGCCCCCTGCTGGGCTGGCGCTCAGGCTGTCCTGACCCGTCTGTCCCTGCCAGGGTGCCCAGTCTGTGATGGCAGCACTCTTCTCACCAGGACAGCTGCCCGGCCCCAGGTGCCCGCAAGTGCCAGACTTACTGGAGGTCTCTGAGGCGCCCCCAGTTGAGACGCGGCTCTGCTGTGGGCCCCTCTGCTGTGTCTCCACCGCCGCCCTAAACTGGCCAGGTTCTTTGACACCTCTGCTCTCTCCTTGTCCCAGGCCCTAGTCGGTGTTTTCCACGCAGAAGGCCAGGGCTTGCCCCTGGAGAGCCTGAGGGATGGGAGCTACAAGGTGAGGCCTGCGGGCGGGGCCGGTGGACACGAGACCAAGTTCCAGCTGCGGCCTCACACGGGCCAGCGCTGACCATCAGCGGTGCCCCTCCCACCCCCACAGAGGCTGGAGGAGGAGCTGCGGCTGCACAGGTGCTCTGCGCGTGAATGCATTGAGCAGTTCTACCTGGACAAGTTCAAGCAGGTGGGCACGTGGGCGCAGCCTTCCTCACCCCCAGGCTTCCACCCCGCCTGCTCACTGGCCTTTCTGCAGAGGCCCCTGGAACAGAACCGCTGTGGACGCCTGAGCGTGCGCTGCCATTACGAAGCTGCCGAGCAGCGTCTGGCCGTGGAGGTGCTGCACGCCGCCGACCTGTTGCCCCTGGATGCCAACGGTGAGGCGCAGTGCTGGCAGGGCAGTGGTGGCGGGGCACGGCGCTGAGGCCCGCGGGGCAGGCAAGTCACAGCTGTGCCCCCAGGCCTGAGCGACCCCTTTGTGATCGTGGAGCTGGGTCCACCACACCTCTTCCCGCTGGTCCGCAGCCAGAGGACGCAGGTCAGGGCTCGGACGCTGCACCCTGTCTATGACGAGGTCTTCTACTTGTAAGTGCCCACCCCACACCCACCCACGCCCACCTGCCCACCAGGGCACACGGTGACCAGCCTCTGTCCACAGCTCTGTGCCTGCAGAGGCCTGCCGCCGCCGTGCAGCCTGTGTGCTGTTCACAGTCATGGACCACGACTGGCTGTCCACCAATGACTTTGCGGGGGAGGCGGCCCTCAGCCTGGGTGGCATCAGCGGAGTGGCACGGCCCCAGGTGGGAGGGGGTACACGGGCTGGGCAGCCTGTAACCCTACACCTGTGCCGGCCCAGAGCCCAGGGTGAGTACGCGGGCAGGGGTGGGGCGGAGGGCGAGGGCCGACATCAAAGCCACGCGCCTGCCTGCCCACCTGCCCACCCGCCCGCAGTGAAGTCTGCACTAAGGATGCTGGAAGGCCGTGCCAACAAGGAGGCGCAGGAGTTCGTCAAGAAACTCAAGGAGCTGGAGAAGTGCATGGAGGCCGACCCCTGAGCCCCTGTGGCCGCTGGCCCCACCAGTCCCTGTTCCCTATGGTGTCCTCCTGCTCCCTGTGGCCAGCTGTGTGTCGCCAGAGCCCAGGGCAGCCCCTTCCCTGCTGTGTGATGTGTGTGCTGTGGCTGGACCCCGTGATCTCCGTCCACCCCAGCCATATTCCTCTGGCATGTGCTGTGAACCTTGTACCCTGGTGAGCCCAACCCCAAATCTGGGTGGCCAACCTGGCAGGTCCTGGCCAGCAGCTGGCCCCAACACTAAGTAGACCAGAGTGGGCCTGACTGCCAGGTGGCAGCTGATCTCAGGGGCCTGGTGGTGGCTTTGCTTTCCAGGCGATGTCTAGAAACATTGTTGGTGGTCACATTTGGGGAGCGGAGGGAGTGCTGTCCGTACCAGTGGGTGGAGGCCAGGGACACTGCTCAACATCCTGCAGTAAATCATGCAGCCCCCCCAAGACCTGCCCCTCCCCAGTGTCCACAGAGTTGCAGTGAAGCCCACTAGAGGAAGCCCCATCTTCCGTCTCTCCGGGGGGGGGGGGGACGCAAGGCCTCAACAGGCCCGAAGCCAGAAAGCCTGAAAGCCTGGGGTTAGGGTTGGACAGCCCATGCCTGGGTGCCCAGCTGAGGGCAAAGCAGACAGCACCACTGTGTTGCACAGCCACTCCTGGCTACAGGGTCCCCCCCACCCCCAGAGGGCATGTGGAGGCGAGGTCTGCTGGGAACTGTGTAGGTTTCCAGTCCCCCTCGGCTCCTGGGCCTGGGAGAGGTTCCCCAGGGGGAGGGGGTCACCGAGGCCAAGACATCACCGGGCTTGTGGTCAATGTACAGAGCTCTGTGCACTGGTTGACGGTCCTCTCTCACATGTATGTGACCACGTGACATCTGCCCTGTGGCCCAGACCCTTTTGGGCAGAGTCTGTCTCACCAGAAGCCAAGAGTCCCTCACCCACCCCCAGGACCAATGGGAAGAAACAGACTCAGGCCGGGGCAGCTCCTGTAGCTTCATTGACAGGCCCGGAGCGAGGCTCGGAGCAAGGCAGGGCAGGCCTGCCGGAGGGCCTGCTGGCCCGAGTGTGCCCGCGCATCTCCAGGTTTTCTCACCACCCAGCCTCCAAAATACATGTCTGCAACCTTCAGTCTCTCTGCCGTTTCTTGATTCCTTTCCAAATTGCAGGTGGGGCCCTGGCCTCAGCCTCTCGTTCCTGCATCTCCTTCTCTTTGGAGCAGCTGCTGCTGTCTCCGTCATCCTCAGCATCAGGCCCTTGGTCCTCAGACTCATCACTGTCATCAGTGTCCGGGGGCAGCCTGGAGGAGAAGGGCATGCTCTCTGCCAGTGTCACCCCAGCTAGCCTGAGGCGACCTTCCCTCTTGCACTTGTGCCTAAAACCCCCAGACCGGGACGAAGTCCCTGCTTCCTATACTCAGCCGAACCCCCGACGGGGCGTTTTCTAGTCAGAACTCAGGCCAGGGCCAAGGAGAGCCTTGGGTCTGTGTGACCCCAGAGCAGGGAAGCCTGGGCACCTACCGGGCACTGGTCACAGGCCTGTTGGGGTTTGCAAACTCTCGCTCTGAATCCACATCAAAGGGATCTGAACAGAGAGAGAACAGAGAGAACCCTAAGTGAGCTCAGAGCAGACCCATGCCCCCATGCCCAAGCCTTTCAAAAGTGGGTAGCAGGTCTGGGGGTCCCAGCATCCGCCTGGGTCAGGATTCACCGATCTCTTCCTCCTGGGGGTTCTCCTTGGCACTGGCCAAGAATTCCTGCTCAGTCCGCAGCACGTCCTCTGGGCTGCCACAGGCCGCGTACTTGTCCAGGAGCTGGCGGTTCAGGTCCAGGAAGCCCTTGCCCCACTTAAACTTCCGCAGCAGAATGACAGCAAGGTCTGAAAAGCCTGAGGTGCAGGAAACAGGAAAGCCAAAGACGTCGGTGACCCCCTCCAGAGTGCATCCTGACCACCTGGCTGCTCGCTAGTGGTGCTGGCCCAGGTAACTGTGGGGTCCCCTCCAAGCCCCAGCTCAGTCCTGACAGCCCATGCTGCCCCTAGCCTCCACTTCTTTTATTCAATTCCCACTGCAGCTAACCAAGTCCCTCTCCTTTGCTAAGGAGCACAAATGTTACCACTAAGACTGTATGCAGGTCTCATGGGTCTCCACTTAGGCCTCTTTCTGGACCATAAACCCGTTGAGAAGGGTTGTCAGGACAGCGCTGCCCAAGATAGCAATGCCCACATGCCAGCCGTGTAGGCAGCTGTTCCATTCTGCCTCCACCACAACTCCACATGGCAAAATAGACTTTAAGTGGCAATTAGGGTTGAAACCACCTCTCTCCCTGCGTGTCCCTCACACTCCTCCTGGGGTCTGTTAACAGAAAACACAATGCTAGGAGCACACGTGGACTACTGGGCTGGGCTGGCATTGTGCCCCAAACTCACCCACGATGCAGAAGGTGGCAGCAAAAGCTTCCACACAGGAAAGTTTGCAGGGCCGGCCATAGTTCACAGGGTTGGCGGCCACCAGGTAGGGGAGCAGCCGCGAGTGGGTCCCTCGCATCTTCCTGAAGGGCGTCTCATCCAGTCTGGCCCAGGAGCAGTCGATGACAGCGACCCCAGACTGTGCCACCAGCTGTCTGCCAGGAACAGCAAAGGGTACCTTCTGAATCACGTCCCTAGAGACTGGCTCACCCCTCACTCTCATCCCGTTCTCTCCAAAGGGCCCTCAGCTGCTCCGAGTGCCTGGAGCGTGCTCGCGTACTCACTGCACAAATATTTATCCTAAGCCCTCCTACTCCTAGGCGCTGCGCTGGGCAATGGGACAAACTAGACAAGGACAAACACGTTCCCTGCCCACGTGGGGAGCCCCGAAAAGGAGGGATGTCCCGGACATTAGGAGGAGACAAGGCAGGCACCACGCCCCCTCCCCAAGTCTCCCGCGCCTACCTGTCTGCGGGGGACACGTACTGGGCGCCTACCGGGCTGAGCACCAGGCCGCCGAACCTGTGGCCCAGGCGCAGGCAGCGCACTAGGCCCAGGCGGGCCAGCTTGCGGCCCGTGCAGCGCCGGGGGTCGCAGTGGCCCAGCTCCCACATGGCCAGCGGGCAGGGCAGCGCTGCTGCGCGCGGGCTGCCCTCGCCCTCGGCCGCCTCTGGCTCCACGGACGCTGCGCCAGGAAAGAGCAGGAAAGCGGGGCTCAGCGCGGGATCGTCGGCCGGGCCTCCGACCCCGCTCCGCTGTCACCTTCGCTCCCCGCTCACCGCGCAGCGCGGCGCCGACCTCCTCAGCGAAAGCCTCCAGGGAACGGCCCGGGAGGTGCCGAGCGCGGCCACCTTCCACCCTCGGCCCGCGCGCCGTCCTCCTGCGGCCCATGGCGGGGTGCTGGGGGCCTCGAACCTCCCCAGGCTTGCCCCTTCTCCACCGGACAGGAGATGCGGGCTACTGCGCATGCGCAGAAACACCACTTCCGGGCCCGACCGTCACGTGACCCGGTACCCACGTGACTTGGCGGCGGCGGCGGTGCGATGGCGGTGGAGCTGGGGCGGTTCTTGTTGCTCCTTGGGCTCGCGGCGCGTGGTGAGTGGCCCGGCCGCCCGCGCACCCGGACCCCTAGCCACGCGCTCCCCGCACCCTGGCTTTCTGTCCCACCCGCTCACGGTCTCGCTCCCCATAGGGCCCGCGCCGGCAGGTGCCGCGAAGATGAAGGTGGTGGAGGAGCCCAACACGTTTGGGTAAGGGGTCTCGCAGGCGGGCAGCTTGGGCCGGGTTGCGGCCCAGCCCGTTCCCCGCTCACTCTGCGCCTCCCGCAGGGTGCACAACCCGTTCTTGCCCCAGACTAGTCGCCTCCAGCCCAAGAGGGAGCCCTCGCCCGTGTCTGGTGAGTGCAGGGCTCTCGCCGCGCGCGCGGGTTGGCGGGGGGAGCCAGGGGCCGCCCTTGGTACCCGCCACGGTGGGGGACGGGAAACTCTTTAGTTGGCATAGAAAGCGGTAACGATGCAGAATGAATTAGGGAGGGACCCTGAGAGCTGTGGCCTGGAGTCTCATGCATTGGTTGTCAGCTTTCTAAAATTAATGTTTAACTGCGAGAGGATATCCCAGAACGTTCTTGTACCGAGTTAAAACAGTTATCTCTAGACTTAGTCTCTGGTTTCCTTTTCTGGAGGTAATCGCTGTAATTTGATGACTTTTCCCAAACGCGTTTTTATGCTTTTCTTGCGGACGTATGCAAATGGTAAACGTACGGTTTTTGTGGTGCTTGTTTTAAAAGAAAAAAAAAGTAATACTGTACAGATATTTGGTTGATTTGTCGTTGTCACTCGCTCCATGTCTTGGAACGCTTCATGGTGGTGAATATAGGTCTTCGTTCTTTTCGCTGGGGTTGCAGAAGTGAACAAAATATGCCAATGCTTTTTGTCTTAGTGGACCTGGCTGTCTAAAGGGGAGGTGAAGTGTGGAGGAATAGACAGTGAACAAAGATGTAAGTGAAATATGTAGAATGCTCAGTGATGAGAAACACTGTGTAGCTGTGTGGAGCAGAGGGGTGTGTGTGTGTGTGTGTGTGTGTGTGTGTGTGTGAAAAGCTGTGTGCTATATGGAACAGAGAAAGGAGGGTGTGTGTTTGTGTGAGTGTCCGTTGTTTTGGGGATTGCTGTTTTTAAAAGGGTGGTCAGGGGAAGTCAGAGAGGCAGCATTTCACCCAAAAGCTGGAGGAGGATAGGGAGCAAAGCTGTGGCCATCTGGGGAGATGGGTCCAGCAAAGTGAGTGGCCAAAGGCCTTGAGCAAGGAAGTCAGGGCCAGAGGGTACTGAGCTGGGGAGTAGTAGGTGAGGTCAGATAAAAGGGCCAGATAATATAGTGCCTTGTTTGTAGGCTGTTACGTGGACTTTGATTGTAAACAAGTCTATTTAAAGTTGCTGTCACGCAATAGAAAAAAACAGAAGAATGGGACAGCGGACACCAGCATGCTCTTGACACAACAGTTAACGTTCTTCCATGATTGCTTTATTTTTCTCTCTCTGTTTTTATTTTGAAAACAGTGAGTTTTTCTTTTGTGGAACCATTTGGAAGTAGATTGCAGAAGCCATGACACTTTGTCCCTAAATACGTTCTGGGTCTACTCTCCCTGCCCCCCGAATTAGCAGTAATTCTATAAAATAACTATTCCTGTGGCTGGGTGTGGTGGCTCACACCTAAAATCCCAACACTTTGGGAGGCCAAAGTGAGAGGATTGCCTGAGCCCACAGGTTTGAGACCAGACAACTTGGCGAGACCCCATTTCTACAATAAATCAAAAAATTAGCCAGGCATGGTGGCGCATGCCTGTAGTTCCAGCTACTTGGAAGACTGAGGTGGAAGGATTGCCTGAGTCCAGTAGGTCAAGGCTGTGGTAGTTAGGAGTGTGCCATCGTGCTCCAGCCTGAGCGACAGAGTGATACTCCAACTCAAAAAAAAAAAAAAAATTAACCATTCCATATCCAGATTTCCCCAGTCATGTCAGGAATGCCTTTTGGAGTGATCTCCACTCCTTCCAGACCAGGGTCCGGTTCACATGTGCGTTTGGCATATTGTCTGTTTAGCCTTTTAATCTGGAACAGCACTTGCCCCCCCCTTTAATTTCCATGATACTGACTTTTGGAAGTGCCCAGGCCAGTCGTCCTTCAGAATATTGAACATCCTGGATGCGTCTGTTTCGTGGTGTCCTTTGACATGTTCCTTTTCCCAGTATGTCCCATAAATGAGATATTAGGCCTGGAAGCTTGTACAGAATCAGGTTCAGCATTTTGGCAAGAGTGCTTCATGACTCATGTCAGCCAAGTGGCCCACAGGCTGCTTTAGAGCCCTGCATGCTTTCACCTCTTCAGATTGGCTTTTCTCTCGGGTGTGGATCACATTTGCGTGTCTCGTCACATGTCTGAAAACCTTGGAATAGGCTCTTGACAACGATGAGTGGTGTGGTGCTCTGTGTTCTGTTGTCTTCCTCTGAAGAGCATCGTCTGTTCAGGAGTTAGCTTGGCAGGACTCCCACTCTGACCCTGCAGGCTGGCGGGGGGCGGGGCGGGGCAGAGGGCAGCCAGGTGTCTGCACTTTCTTCCAACCTTCTGTGAGCACTTCTTCTGCAGGTGTGTGTGTGCCAGAGCTGATGGGAAGCGTTTGGGGCTCCCCCTCTGTGGCTGTTCTCTAAAAAAAAAAATTCCCCCTTCATTTCTTGCTGTTGCAGCCACCTCCCCCCATCCTGATTCCTAGTGCTGTGAAGACTGGGTTGTTCCTGGTGGCACTGGCACTGGAAAAAGCTGTAGAAACAGCTGTAGAAAAAGCTCCCTGCCTGCTCCTGCCTCACTGAGTGTTCAGGGCTGCCGTCTGTGGAGGGCTGATATGGCTTCTCACTCAGTTACTATCTTCAGAGCATGTGCAGAGCAGTCTCAGAACTCACCACAGAGGCTTCAGAGTGCACGTTCTGGGGTCACTAGAGGTGGCGCTTTGCACTCCGGGTGACGTTACTGTCCACAGTGAGCCTTTTGTTTTGCTTTGTTCCTAGCTGACTGGACTTATTTCGTGTCCCCCCCCCCCTTTTTTTTTTACTTTTGGACACATGTAAATATGTATGTGCTGGGTTTGGTGTTTCCTTGATGTCGGGGAGTTCTACACATTAGGAATATTGCCTCTTCATGTGGGTGTGAGTTGCATGTATTTTTTTTTTTCTAGTTTCTCAGCGTTTTCATTTTGCATTCTCCAGACCAGTTTTTTCCTACAATTATGGTCAGGTGTGTATGTTTTAAACATTATTTTCTTTGAGGTAGCCCTCCTTCCACATAAATTTCTGGAGTGGATTTCCCTGCAGATTTCACTGGGCGATACAGTGCTGAACCAAGCACCCATCCTGCTTGTGGGAGACTGCTGTGTGTTTTGAGAGCTGAGAAGAAAGAGAAATAGGCTGGGACAGAAACACGTGGGAGTTGTGAGTGCCGCCTCGGACTCTAGAAGTCCTGGCATGAGCTGGCTGAGGAGAAAGGGGAGCAGGCTTGTCAGGACGGACCCGCCAGCAGGCAGCTGTGGGCTCCTTGAAGACCTCGTCCCCCAGATCAGTGGGGGAGCCTCATCCCCTAACAGGAGAGGGGAGAGATTGGCAGGTCTGGACCAGTGTCCTGCTTGTGGTGTGGATATGCAGTTGGGGCATGGCAGGTGTGGTCACCACACCACCCAGGAGGGCACTCTCCCCGATCTGGGCAGAGAGTCAGGGAGGAGCAAGGTGCCTGGCCTTGGCTGCAGGAGCCATGCAGGGGGGGCTCCCACCAAGAGAGTGAGCCCAGGGCTGAACTGGGTTTGTAGTGTGTGGGCTGTGGGTTTAGTTTTGGTCGGGACTGAGTTTAGGAGGGAGTGCTGGCACTTGGGAGGGGTCACAGCCGGCACAAGAGGCTCAGGACCTGTCATTGGGTAGGTGAGTGGTGAGGTCCCAGCCAAGTTCTCGATGGGATGGGGGTTGAGGAAACCAGGAGGGAGTCGGCGCCAGACCAGGGAGCAGATGCCAGGGGAGGGGCTGGGAGGAGGACCACCCTCAAGAAGGGATATGGGACTAGAGGAAGTGGCCCCCAGGCCTAGCTGGGGCTGGAGCTGGCCAAGAGGAAGTGAGGGTCTGCGCTTGGCCCAGCTGATGGGGTCTTGAGCCATGGCTTCGGATACAAGGCAGCTGGGGGAGTGGCGTTGGGGGCTGTGGGCTGGGAGCTGAGGGCATCGAGAGTCCTTGTGCACGTGAACAGGGAACCCAGAGGGGGGCATTTGGGCGTGGTGGTTGTGTCTGACCCGCGGCGAGAAAGACCGAGGTGGACCAAACCCTCTGCACAGCGCCTGGTGCTGGCGGCCGTGGGACGCACGTGTGCCCATGTGTCCCCTCTTCCTTTGCTGGCTGTGTGCGTGGCTCTCCTGGCTGCACTCTCTCCCATTCCGTGCACGCAGCTTCACCACAGTAAAAAACCTAAGGTTTGCGTCCTAACCATGACAGGCATTCTGGGGCATCCACACTGCTGTGCGGCCCTCACCCACCATCTGCAAAACATCCTCATGACAGACTGAAACTGCCCCTGTGAGACCACCCCTGCTGGTGCCCCTGCCTCAGGCAGCCGCCGCTTTGCTTCCTGTCTCACGAGAGTGACTGTGCTGGGGACCTTGCGACAGGGACCCACGGTATGTGACCTTTTGTGCCTGGCTCGCATCATGCGGTTGCACTGTATGGACCTCGCTGCTTTTTATGGCTGTGCAACAGCCCACTGTATGGTGGCCACGTTGTCTCCCTGCCATCTGCTCCCGGACACTTCGCGGCCTCCGCCTTCTGGTGCTTGGGAGTGACACTGCTGTGAGCATAGGTATGCTTGTCTTTGTCAAGTCAGGTCCTACTCCTGGGAGATTTGCTGCATCCTGGAGAATTATATGTGTTGCTTTTTGAGGTCCACCGTGGTCGCCAGGGGGTCACAGGGGTTCCAAATTCCCCATGTCCTCACTCCTCTTGGTATTTTCAGGTTTGACAACAGCCATCCTAATGGGAGATGCGATATCTCGTCATGGTTTTGATTTGCGTTTTCCTAATGGTTAGTGACATCACATCTTTCCATATACTTATGGGGTATTTGTCTTTTTGTGTGTGTGTGTTGGAGTCTCACTCTGTTGCCCAGGCTGGAATGCAGTGGCACACTCGCCGCCACCCCAGCGTAGACCTGCTGGGCTCTGGTGATCCTTCTGCCTCAGCCTTCCAAGTAGCAGGAACTATAGGTACACACTACCACACCCAGCTAATTTATTTATTTATTTTTATTGTAGAGACAAGATCTCACGACGTTGCCCGGGCTGGTCTCAAACCCGCAGGTGCAGGCAATCCAGTTGCCTTGGCCTCTCAAAGTGCTGGGATTACAGGCTGAGCCACCAAGCCCAGCCGAGAAATGTCTTTTCGTTTCTTTGTCCATTTTTATGTATGTATGTATGTTGGAATCTCACTCTGTCACCCAGGCTGGAGTGTAGTGCTATGCTCCTGGTCATTGCACCACAGCCTCAACCTGCTGGGCTCAGGTGATCCTTCTGTCTTAACCTTCCAAGTAGCTGGAACTACAGGCACACGCCACCATGCCTGGCTAATTTTTTTTAAAAATTTATTTCTTGTAGAGAACAGGCCTCACCAAGTTGCCCAGGTTGGTCTCAAACCTGAGGGCTCAGGCAATCCTCTCACCTCGGCCTCCCAAAGTGCTAGGATTATAGGTGTGAGCCACTGCACCCAGCCTATATATATTTATATATATATATATATATTTTTTTTTTTTGAGTTGGAGTCTCACTCTGTCACCCAGACTGGAGTGCAGTGGCCACTCCCAGCCACCGCAGCCTCAACCTGCTGGGCTCCGGAGATCCTTCCACCTCAGCCTTTTCGAGTAGCCAGAATTACAGGCATGCGCTATCACGCCTGGCTGATTTTTGATTTATTGTAGAGATGAGGTCTCACCAAGTTGCCCAGGCGGGTCACGAACCCGCGGGCTCAGGCAATCCACTCACTTCAGCCTCCCAAAGGCGCGGGATTACAGGCTGAGCCACCAAACCCGGCTTATTTATATATTTTTAAAGAGACAAGGTGTCACTCTGTTGCCCAGGCTGGTCTCCTGGCCTCAAGCAGTCCTCCCACCTCAGCCTTCCAAAATGCTGGGATTATAGACGTGAGCCACTGCACCTGATCTCCTTTGCCCATTGTAAATTTGGGCTGTTTTATTGTTGGGTTGTGGGCATACTTTATATACTCGGGGTCTCAATCCCTTCTCCATTGTGATTTGCAACCAGTTTCTTTGTGGGCTGTCTTCACTCTCTGATAGTGTCTCTTGATATATACTTTTAAAATTTGGATTAAGTCTAGTCTATCTGTATTTTTTCTGTTGGCGCCTGTGCTTTTGGTGTTGGATCCAAGCAATCGTTGCCTGGTCCAGTGTTGAGAAGTTTTCCCTGTGTTTTCTTCCAAGAGTTTGGAGCTTTGGTTCTGCTGTTCAGTCTCTGGTCCAGCTTGAGCTTGTTCTTGTGTATGGTGCAAGGGAGGGGTCCTCATTATTTTGCCTGTGGATATCCGGTTTTCCAACACTTTGTTGAAAAGCCTGTCCTTCTGCAGCGAGTAGTCTTGGCACCTTGTCATGTCACTTCACTGCATACTCCAGGCTTACTTCTGGGCTTCCTCTTCTGTTCCAGTTCTCTGCATGCCCGTCTTCATGTCAGTACCACACCTTCTTCATCACTGTAATTTTGAAGTAATTTTTAAAATCAGTAAGTGTGAGTCCTTCAACTCTGTTCTTTTTCAAGATTGCTTTGGTTATTTGGGGTCCTTTGATATTCCATATGTGTTTTAGGGTGTGTTTTAAAAAATATTTCTGCAAAAAAAAGTCATTGGGGTTTTGATAAGGGGGTGCCTTAGGTCTGCGGGTCAGCTTTGGGTAGAGTCGACATCTTAACCATGTTAAATCGTTCAATCCCTAAACAAGGAACAGCTTCCCATTTATTTATATCTTTAATTTCTTTCAGCATTGTTTTGTATTTTTCAGAACATGAGTCTCTTGCTTCATTGGTTAAGTTTATTCCTATGCATTTTATTTTTTCTGATGCTATTGTAAATGAAATTGCTTTCTTAATATTGTCTACCACTATTGCTTAGAAATGCAACTGATTTTTGAATATCAGTTTTGTATCCTGCAACTTTGCTGACTTTTTAAATAGTTCTCACAATGTTTTTCAGAATCCTTAGGGTTTTCTATGCATAAAATCATGTCCTAGACTAACAGGCAGCTTCACTTCTTTCCTTGTGGTTTGGCTGCCTTTTATTTCCTCGTCTTGCGTAACTGCCCTGGCAGAGACTGCAGTGCAGTGTTGAGTGGCCGTGCTGAGAGCATCCTGGTCTCAAGGGGTGTTTTTCACATCACCATCTAGCAGGACATCAGCGGTGGGGTTTGCATATGCCCTTCAGCAGACAGGACTCGTACCTGTCTGTCCTAATTTGTGGAGTGTTTGTATCACGAAAGGGTGTTGCCAGGTGCTTTTTCCTGCATTAATGGAGATGAATTAGGTGACTCCTCTCCCATTCTTTGAGTGGGATGTGTCACACCGAGTGATTTCCTTGGGCAGAAACATCCTTACGTTCCAAGAAAGACACATCTCCTGGTTGTGGCATGGAATCTTTCCGTACTGCAGCACTTGGCTTGCTGGTATTCTGCTGGGGATTCCTGTGTCAGTGATGATCGGAGGTGCTGGTCAGTCCTTCTCCTGGGGTGCTTTTGTCTGGCTTTGGTGTCGGAGTAGTTGGGGCCTTGCAGGATGTTTTTGGAACCGTTCTCTCCTCTGTTTTTTGGAAGTGCTTTGAGGATTGGTGTTTGTTCTCTGCATGCTTGGTAGAATCCACCTGATGCTCTTGCTGGGAGGTGTTTGATTACTCAATCCTTGCCTGTCGCAGGTGCTTACAGATTTTTCACTTCCTTATGATTCTGTCTTGGCAAGCTGTGTGTTTTTTAGGAATCAGTCCATTTCAATTGGGCCATCGACTGTTGGTGTACAGTTGTTCATCTTTTCTTTTTTTTAAATTAGAATCTCACTGCCACCCAGGCTGGAGTGCAGTGGCATGCTCACAGCTACTGCAGCCTCGACCAGCTGGGTTAGGTGTTCCTTCCACCTCTGCCTCTTGAGTAGCTGGAACTATAGGCATGCACCACCACGCCTGGCTAATTTTTTGGTTTATTGTAGGGATGAGGTCTTGCCAAGTTGCCCAGGCTGGTCTTGAACCCCTGGGTTTGGGCATTCTTCTCCCCTTCTGCCTCCCAAAGTGCTGAGATGACAGGTGTGAGCCACCATGCACTGGGGCCTACATTTGTCTTTTAAATTCGGTAGACTTACAAATCAAAGACACAATAATTCTGGCTGTGTGGCTTGCCATGTGTTTACCAGTACAGGAAGTCCCCTACATATGAACGAGTTCCCAAGATCTCATAAGTCCAACAAAGTCAGCCTAAGTACCCAACTAAGACAATCAGCTATACCAGCAGTGTCACTGCTGCTTTTACTCTTGCTTTCGGACATCCTGAGCCTGATATACAGATACTCTACTGCTGCACACTGTACAGCACCGTGAAGTACACAAAATCACAACCCCTTGTAGAGGACACACACACATGACAGCATGTGCCAGACCCATGAACTGGCACATGATTGGACATGGGACACACGTTGACATCTTTGAGAGCTTGCAACTTGAAGGTTCAGAGGTAGGGATTTACTGTGGTATAGATCTCGGTCTCTTAAGAGAATGTCAGATGTTGGCGTTTGTCCCGGGCAGGCCTGTGGCCTTGAGCTCCCTCAGTTTTGGCCTGCCTAGGAGTGTCAGCCCTCACACTTGAAGGACTGCTTTCCTGGAGGCAGGATTCTCAGCTGGCCTGTCAGTGTTTTTCATTTTTTAAAGCATTTTCATTTTTTAGAGTCAGGGTCTTGCTGTGTTGCCCAGGTTGGTCTCCAACTCCTGGACTTAAGTGGCCCTCCCACCCTGGCCTCCTGAGGCTGAGTAGCTGGGGCTACTTTTCATCATGCCCAGCAGTTCTTTTCCTTTGAATGGGCCATGTTTTTCTGTTTCTTCGGCTGCCTAGGGACTTTTTGCTAAAAGCCAGTCTTTTAGAAGCAGGCTCCTCTGCCAGCCATTGCTAACTGCTCTGTGCAGGGCAGCCCTCGCGATGGGCTGGCTGTGCCTGCACCTGCTGCTCCCAAGTCTGTCCATGGCTGCTTTAGGCATCTTCGCTTCCAGCATCTCCTCAGGTGCCAGCATCTCCTGTGGGCAGTACCCGGACCTCCTGAGGTCTGGGGCCAGCGTGGGGGTGTCTTGCCATCCACTGCTTCCAGGGCTGCTGGACCCTTGGACCACGTCTGCCGCCAGGGGGTCCACCCAGCTGGCTTCTGTAGAGTGAGCTCGGCACTCCCGACTGGCGCTCTGCGGCGCCCCTCAAGCATGTGTGCGTCACCCTTAAGTGTCAGCCCACCTGGCCTTCCCGATGGGTGGCCCTGGCTCCGAGGCGCGTGCTTCTCCCATGGGCCATGCCCGACTCAAGTGCTGTCCCCTACCAGGGCCCACACACCTCTTCGGACTCTCTGGCAAGTGCTTCAGCCTGGTGGAATCCACGTGAGTGTGGGATGGGGCGTGGGCGGGGTGCAGCCCGGGACCCCCTGACCCCCCTGTGCCCCCAGGTACAAGTATGAGTTCTGTCCATTCCACAACGTGACCCAGCATGAGCAGACTTTCCGCTGGAACGCGTACAGCGGGATCCTCGGGTGAGTGGTGGCTGGGGCAGGCGGGGGTGGGAGCGGCGAGGGGACGGGGAGGGGCAGGGGTGGGGGCGCCCGCCCGGCCTCATGCATTCTGTTCCCCAGCATCTGGCATGAGTGGGAGATCACCAACAACACCTTCGCAGGCATGTGGATGCGCGACGGCGACTCCTGCCGCTCCCGGAGCCGGCAGAGCAAGGTGGGCCATGAGAGTGGCGCCTGGGAAGGGGCCTGGATGCCCCCTCCAGCCCCACCCACTGAGGCTCCCTCCCCAGGTCGAGCTCACCTGTGGCAGGAGCCACCGGCTGGCCCACGTGTCTGAGCCAAGTACCTGCCTCTATGCACTGACATTCGAGACGCCCCTGGTCTGCCACCCGCACTCCTTGTTAGGTAGGATTGGGGGTGGGGGTGGGGTGGGGTGGGGGGCGGGGACAGGCTCAGCCAAGGCCTGTTCGGTTGGTCTGCAGTGTACCCCGTCCTGCCGGAGGCCCTGCAGCAGCGGTGGGACCAGGTGGCGCAGGACCTGGCAGAAGAGCTCATCACGCCCCAGGTGAGAACACATGGCGGTGGCCCAGGCCAGCCATCAGGAACCCCACTGCCTCTGCTTTCTCCACTCTCAGGGCTATGAGAAGCTACTGAGGGCGCTTTTTGAGGACGCTGGCTACTTAAAGGACCCAAGAGAAGACACACCTGCCCAGGAGGAAGGAGGGCCCCCCGGCCTGGCACTTGAGTCCCTGGAAACCTGCAAAAAAGTGAGGAATTGGGGGAAGGGCCCTGGACACACAGCCTCCCCCCAGAGGGCCCAGCAGTCCCCTGGAGCTCTTTTATTGCAGGCACAAAAGGAGCTGTTGAAGGAGGTCAAGCGCCTCCGGGGCCTGCTGGCCCAGCATGGCATCCCCCACGCAGGGCCCGTGGGTGAGTTGGGCGGCACCTCCCCTGGCATCCCCCAAGCAGGGCCTGTGGGCGAGTTGGGTCGGGCCCCCCCACCTTGGCACGCCTGCTGCCCAAGGGCCAGGTCCTGACCTGCCACCTGGTGTTTTGGCAGAAACCCCCAGCTCCGAGCCCTGGGGACTCAAGATACCCACAGCCGGGCCACTGGCACAGCTGCACAGCAATCCGGGCCTGCGAGGGAATGTCCTGTGACCCAGACCCTGGGTGTCAGGTGCAGGAAGGCCGAGGAGAAGGCCAGAGCCAAAAGCCTGAAGGCTGCGGGCACAGACACTACAGGAGAGAAGCTGGGACTCAGGGACCACTGGCCAGGCTTGGCTGCACCCAGAGATGCAGACGGAATAAAGATTCAAGGTTTTAATTAATTCTCATACTGATAAAAATAATTCCATGAATTCTGTAAACCATTGCATAAATGCTATAGTGTAAAAAAATTTAAACAGGTGTTAACAACTTTAAACAAGTCACTACGAGTAGATGATTATACATTATAAATACTACCTTCTGGGTTAAAGGAAACTCCATTCCAATCACATTCTCATCTAAATACTCAAACATACAACCTGGGGCTTCCAAAAATTAATCCACCTGAAGCGTCCACATGGAACGAGGGTCCCCGCTGACGCTGGTACACGGACACCATGATGCTGTCATGTCACCACTGAGACTTGACACCAGGCAATGCCCAGGTGGCTTCCTGAGCCAGTGCCCCCTCCTCCCCCCACACGGGGACACTGGCCCTGAGCCGTTGGGCCTGTCCAATTCAGCCTCTGTGAGGCCTGTGGGAGAGCACGCTTCTGGCACCTTCTGCCGTGGTGGACCCTGGCCACCTGGGGTTGGTCCCTGAGGCCTTGGGCCTCAGAAAACCAAAGCCTGGAGGCAGAGTGGGGAGGCCCCAAAGTGGGCAGCCCCAGTGGTGCACTGGGCCCAGGAGTTCACTCCTGGCGTCTCTTTGGTCTTCTCACCGCACACCTGGCCTCAGTGCCGTCCTGAGGCGTGAGTGGCACCTCCTTCTCCCAGCAGTCCACCATGGCTCCCTGCCTCCACCCCCAGGACGTGAGCCCTGGAGCACATCAGGAGCACCTGCCGGGTTCCACCGAAGGAACTGACCAGAATAGCTTATGGACAGACTAAAGCTTAATTGTTCTTAAATGTTGATAATTTGAAAATGTCTAGGCTAGATAGCAATAACAAACATCGTCCTGTTATCCCAAGAGAGACCAAAGGCCTGACATGGGAAACAAGTGCATAAATATTAATAAAAATAAAGAATTTTAAACATTGATAACAGCACAAAATATGCATCATTTCTACGGAGCTGATAAATCACCACCACCATTAAAAACATAACCGAGCCACTGAAACCATATAGGGGTTTCCTTAGCAGCCAACTAGCTGGATGTCACGGATCCACTTCCTTTAAAGCAACAGAACTATTCCAATTTGTTTGTCTTTTGAAAATGTTCTTAAGCCTCCTACTCTATTAGATACATTCTAATTTGGTCACCAATGAAAATTTTTACCTAGACACTTTGCACTTTAAAAAAATGCTATTAAAAGTCTTTGGCAAAGCCACGGATGGGTGGAGACACGTCTCTGCTCGCTCCCGTGGAGGGACCCTCGGGCCACCCAGGGCTGCCCCGGAGAGCCAGGTCTGGGGGGCACAGACGTCTGCTCCTCCCCCCCAGGGTCTGGGGGAAGTCCCCATCCTGACAGAGGAGGTTCAAGTCATTGCTTGAGACATTCTCAGTCACCTTTCTACTGTGGTCCGAGGCCAGGCTGTCACCCCAGGGGCTGGCGGCGGAGGGACTACAGCAGAGCCGGACCCAGGGGCCACGCCCCCCCACCTGCTCCAGGCCACTGAGGCGCTGTGGCTGGGTCTTCTTGTGTCATCTTGCTGCCACATGAGTGAGTGGACTTAAGCTTAGGGGACAGGGCCCACTAACTGTCACCCTGGACACCGCAAGACACCATGGTGCAAGCATCTCCCACATGAATGGGGGCGGCGGGTGCCGGGCAGGCAGTGGTCTCCCAGTGTAGGGCCCTCTGTGTGAGACAGGACGCCCGGTGAGGCCTCTGGGAAGTTGCAGAGCACCATTTCCTGTGATAGATCCCAGCAGCCAGAAGATGGCTTCTGGAAAAGGTACTTTAAAACCTCTGCTAGCTGATCCCTCCCGTGGCGAGTCTCATTAGGATCAAGTTGTCCCTCGGAGTTGCAAGGGAAAAAGTAAAACCAAACGAATGGCCCCTCACGTCTTCTGCAAGGCACACGCGTCACACACGTGCACAGGAGCGCTCTCGGGATGTCACTCCACGACACTGGACCACAAAGCTCCAGTTATGTGTGCACGTGCACACGCTGAGGAAAACGAGTTCCTTTCATAAAGTTAAAAACATCTAAGTATCTTTCAATAGTCACTCTGTTTATAAATACTATTTGCACTTAATTGGAAAACTGTAAAAATCCTAGGCCTCTCTCACTACTAGATAAATGCTCATTTCGTAAGTACTAGCTTCGGAGTATGAAATCTAATAATATTTACCATACTATGACAGTAAACCGATAAGAAATATTTTAAGTTCACAGTACACATATAAAGCTTCATATTATCGCATGGTAAAAAAAAAAAAGTGAGCCTACAAAGCAGCTTAGAGCAATCTGTAACGTCTAACTAAATTCCTCGGCTTACAAAGTGCTTTGCCAAGACCCCGACTCCCAACGGTCTGGTCATCACAACGTCAGGACCACAGGCCGCTGCCATCACGGCGCCTGCTCAGGCCACTGAGACAGTAAGCCCCTCCGGGACAGGCACGGGGGCAGGGAGTTCTGTGGGTTTGCTTCTAAGGTTCTGAGACTACCTTGAAACCATCGGTGTGACAAGATAGCTGAAAATAAGTGACACCAAGGCTGCTGGGCGGAGAGTTGGTGAGTGCCTGGCCTTGGTCCCAATGTCGGTGGCACCAGAAGTGAGTGACATCATGTGGGCACTGCAGCCCCCGATCCAGGTGCTCCCAGGGAGGCAGCCATCCCTCCTCCGGTCACCACTGAAGGGGCTGGCCCTCACAGTAGGGGCACTCGGGTGCGCTAGCTGCACATGGCTCACAGAGGACACGGTGCTGGCAGGGTCGCAGGATGGTGCTGTGCGCACGCTCCCGGCAGGCCACACACTGCTTGGTGCGGAGCTGGAAGATCACCTGTGGGCGAGACACCATCGGCAGGTCAGGGAGCCCTGCCAGGAGGACCTTGCACAGCTCAGGAGGAACGGCCACCAGCTGCCGTGGCAGGGTCAGCAGACACCTGCCAGGGCCACTATAGGGCGAAGCTACAGGGGTGGGAGCCTTGGGCTGAACCACCACAGCCACAGCAGGAAGGGCAGCCAGGCCAGGGGCCCTGGACCCATGGCAGCTGGGCAACCAGGACGTGGGCTAAGTGAGAACCGAGACCCTACAGCCACAAATGGCCGCCAGAGCCTAGGAGGCCGAGTGAGGGAGGCGCATGCTGAAGCCAAGCTTTGGCCTCACAGAGAAGAGGAAGTATGTGAGCGGCCCGGCTCCAGAAGCTTCCAGATGTCCAGGTTCCAGCACAGGGATGACCCACCAGGAAGGAGCTCCTGGCTGAGCAGAGTGCACAGCTTTTACGTGACACCAAAGAGAGGAGCCCAGAGGCAGCCAGGCATGATCAAGCACCAGGAGGGCAAGCTGCCTTGTCCCCCCAGGGCATAGCCCGGGGAAAGGGTGAAC